AACATACAAAAAAAAGCACAATAGCAGTTAAAACTGAGCACACTGTTGGCAAGTATTTACTTTCAAAACGCAAACACTATGGAAAAAAGTGATTCTTTAAAGGCTTAGGATTCATAGCTGTAGAATTCAAACCTCAAAAGACTGCTAAGAGTCTCTGCCACAAGGATAATTAACAAACCCCTGGCCACCAACAGGACTCCACCTGGTTTAGGTAATACAGGCAGCAGGTTTTAAAATTTTTACAGCCATTACCTATGGAAACAAGGCTTTGGTCGTTTATTCTGTCTCTCCCACAGCTGTAGGGTCTATTATCCAATTTTAGCCATATGTGATACAAGGCTGCAGAAATATTCAGTCATTTTTAATTTTATGTTAAAAAGGGGGAAAAGATTCTCTTAATACTCCCTGCAGAAGTCTGAACTCACACCATTAGAAACCAAGGAGTTCCCAAAAATGAGGGAATGAGTACCAGCAGCTGGAGAGAAAATTTCAGAAACGTTTATCTTTTTAGACAACATCTACTCCACACCACTTCTGCAGCTTCTCCAGTATTTAATAAAGGCTGAAATGCAAACTCGGAACCGGCTGTAGTTTGACGATCAATTCTTTCATTTTTGGTATCAGTCTACACAATTAAAATTATGGAAGTTTTCTTAGTGTTGTACTCATCTTTTCTCTTACAATATGAAACTACGCACAAACAGCATGATTCAAAAGCAAAGTCATCTTTTACAAAGATGACATTTGGGGATATTTATTGTTCTTAAGTCAGAGTAATGAAAAATGGCTTAAAGAACAATTTTGGTTTTGCACAGAAATCCAAATCCATAAACAGCTAAGTGCTAGTGGCTTAAGTGGTGAAATAAGCTGCTCTCCATTGTTAGTTCCATCTTCAATCTGAATCATGTTTAGATGCTCAAGGGCACAAACAGCTTTTATGGGTCTCTGAGCCAAAGGAAAGTGCTGTTTTCTCATACTGTTCAAAAAATGTTTGCATAAAATTTGAGTAAAAGGTTTTTTTTTTTACCATCAAACCAGCTAAATTTTGTGTAGAGTACAAAAAAAAATGTTTAACTAAAATCTAAGTGTTCCTACATGTTTTCAGTGTAATTATTTCAAAACAGAAAAAAATAAAGCTAACCTCAACTCCCAATCACTTAACGGATTTTTCAGCATGACAATGGCAATTTCATGGCACAGCAATTCACTGATCTGCCACGATTTGTCAAATCTTTCTGTGAAGCTGTTACAAATGCTAGAACAGGACGAACGATCATGTAAGATCAATAAAGTCAGAAAACAGTGTAAGAGAAAGGAGACAGCTGGCTACACAATAATGGATTATTAACAGGCGTTCTAGTGTTTTCTAATAATAGTTTCCATGTTTTTTGATTATCACACAACATAATTGAGAACTGCATTTAATCTGTGAGTAGAAAATCACCGCTGTATATTTCTAATTTGAAATAAAGACTCAGAAACCCGCTGAAAGTTCCTCCATTTTAGAGGCCAATGTGTGCGGCTAACACAGTCCCAGAAGGTCCCACGCGCCAAGGACGCGATCCAAGGGATTCTCCGTCACATAATCCCCTTGTTCTCCCCAGGCAGCCGAAAGGGCATGAAGAAAACATCCAGGTTGGATGAGGCTTTGGGCAACCTGGTGTAGTGGAGGGTGTCCCTGCCCATGGCAGGGGGGTTGGAACTAGATGGTCTTTAAGGTCCCTTCCAACCCAAACCATTCTATGATTCTATGACTCTATGACCAGAGCCTGAAAAACAGTTGATGAAAAATGCTGTATGCTTTACATCAGTGATTTTGTTAAGTATCGAAAGAGACATTTTAAAATAATAGTCCCCAATTGTTATTTTAATCTCTGAAATTTTCTGCTATTCTAATCTCAACCCTTTCATAAGCATTGGGGTTTGATAGAGCGTTTAATGGGAAACCAGGAAAAAAAAAAATATCGGTATTACAATTCACATTATCACAAAAGGAAGATTCACTCTGGCAGGTATCATCTAATTTGAAGAGAAAAAAAGACACCAAATTTAACCCTAACAGATGCAGCCTATTTCTTGCTCATTCACATCCACCGTTACTGAGTTACAGCGTCTTTATATTCAATAACCTCATTCAGGCATATTTGTTTCTACTGTGAGGAGGTGCTAATTAAAAATAATGACTAACGTTAATTTGCTTGAACAGTAAAGAGAATTACGTACCAAAAGCTCATTATAGTCCCTGAAAAGTATACTTTTCTGCAGAGAAATCTGTTGCAGTGGCTGCGCTTTAGAAGATCAGAAAAATTGTCTAAGTACTTAAAAAACTCTCGTTAACTAAAGTATCATTTAATCTCAAATTCTCTCCAATTATTAAACAAAATGCAGATTTGCCATCACTCCGGAAAAGTGAAAACAAAGTTTTTATACTCTGTAAAGATGGCATACTGTAACCTCTCAGTGGCTAACCCTACAAAGATACAGCAACATTCACATCCATGTTTAAGGACATGCACAGCTTCACCTGTATTTCGCATTTCCCATCCCTGGCAGTGTTCCAGGCCAGGCTGGATGAGGCTTTGGGCAACCTGGTGTAGTGGAGGGTGTCCCTGCCCATGGCAGGGGGGTTGGAACTGGATGATCTTTGACGTCTCTTCCAACCCAAACCATTCCATAATTCTATGATTATTATTGTCCTAGAAGGAGATGGTACCAGTTCTGAAGTGAACGACCTGTTTATTTTCACTGCCAGTTCACCACAGAGGACACAGTGCAATGAGGAGAGCCCTCAGAACTGCTGTGATTTGAGATGGCAGAGGCACCAGGAAACAGTCAAATCCAAAGAGACTTTGGGCTCTGTTTTCCTTGCTAGACTTATGCAGCCAAATTCCATAAACATGGAAACTTTACAGTAACACAAGTAGACGGTATTTGAAAAATGCCACAATGACTTGTGAACTTATACTAACTTCAAAAGAAAGGAACAAAAGTTTAACAGTGTTTTGCCTGAAAATGTAAAATAAATAGAATCACAGAATCATAGAATCATGGAATCATAGAATGGTTAGGGCTGGAAGGGACCTTCAAAGGTCATCTAGTCCAACCCCCCTGCAAGGAACAGGGATATCTCCAACTAGATCAGGTTGCCCAGGGCCTCATCCAACCTGGCCTTGAACGTCTCCAGGGATGGAATACTTGCTTTATTCTTCTGTATATGGATGTTAATCCACATTGAACTATATTAACTGGAGATACATGTTCATAAGCTTTTTTTTTTTAATCAGGATTAAAATGAAAAATAAGACCAAAGGACATTAAATTCAGCCTTCAAGCCACTATTTCACCTGCATGGATAGACCTTTAGAACGCCTGAAACATCTCAGCCTGACAAAACCAGGCAGGCCTCAACCCTAATTCCGTTGCAGGATCAGGCCCTGAAGAGCCAGGGGGTACTGAAATGAAAAAGCACATGAGAAAGCAGGAGCAGCTGACTGCTATGCTGGTGTTTTCATCTTCAAGCAATGATAGCTCTGATTTGAGCCAGAGAAGCAAACCTGTTTTCAATGCTGAGGTCTCAGCCAGCATTTGGAACCTTTCTGTGCTCTAGTCAAGTGTTGTGGATAAATTTACACAGACTATTCTCCAGACGGTACCTGCAATCCTGGGATAAATCGAGCATCTTTTTCAATTAGAAGAAGCTGTTCAACACCAGCACTGAGAATGGATCTGGTAATTCCTCCTGGCCCAGGGCCCACTTCACAAACATGGGCATTTTTCAGCTTGCCAGCTTGTCTCACTATCTTGTCTGCAAGACACAAAGAACATACTAAACCTTTATTCTCCAGAAGATAAACTCATTGTTTATTGTCAAAGCACAAGTGTGCTTATCTCAGAGCAGACACAAACAGTGACACATCCCAGTTAAACCATCACACGCCTGCTAGACTGCACGAAATTCAGATTTGTTTCACACAAGACACATTCAACTGTTTAAAAACCACTATTTTCAGTGTAATGTCTTTAACATACATTGTTGCTCACTACAGAATCAAATAAAAAGAGAATATAATTTCTCACTGGTAAACTAGCAGTACTGTTCTCCTCCTGCAGGTAATCACTTGTGTTCAACACTCTGAAGTCTCACGACTTATCCTTATACAGGTATTTCATTACAGTTCCTCTGTTTCCAGGAAAGTTGAGAAGCAAAAAAGATGCAATGAATCTGTACCAAGATCACAGTATATATAGAGCAATTTTATGAGAGAGGAGCTGAAGTAAAGTAAGAGTTGGAATACAGGCAACTAGTAGTTACAGAAAGTGGGGCAGCTGAAAGAGGAGAAAAAATACCTGTACGTAAGAGGAAGGATACCCCATTGGAAGGCATTACAGCCAGGAAAGAAAAGAGATTAATGATTGAAATGAGGATTAAAAACGTCGCTAATAAAACAGAGAGATCTGTAGGAAGCAAGGAGAGAGGGATGCAGAGAGAAATTATGCTGCTCACTCCATAACTTCTTAAGTATGCAATAAAAATAAGAAATATCTGAAGACTTGTCTATTTGTGAGGTTTTACTAAGTGCATGCAGGCATTTTTATTCCACAGTAACAGTCTAGCTATTCAGGAAGGGGAACTGAGTTTCATGTTCACTTCCTAAATCGTCATAACCTGAATCCTCAAACGAAATCAAACCATCAGCTACATGAAGCTGGCACTACGTTGTTTACTGCAAAACGCAGCCACCACTGGACCATTAAGAAACTCACCACCGCCTGAACAGTGCCAGCTCTGCCACCCACTGCTGGCACACAGCCAGAGAAAATGGAACTGTTCACAACACTGTAACCGTTTCAAAAAAGCTACATTTCTGGTAAACCCGAGACAAATGATGCTCCTAACCACGGTACACAGTGAATTAACTGCACAACGAGTTACAGTACTTTCTACGATACGTAACAGTCTGAAAAACATACTCGTTTTTGAATCAAAACAGAATAGTAACTGGATGGTCAAAGTGCTACTGAGGCCTGGACGTTTGCATTTCAATCAATAATCCATATTTTACATCAGAACATAGTTTCTACCTAAAAAGTACTCTATAAAGAAACATTTTCTAGGAATTTACAAGTCAGATCAATTTCTCTAAGCTAAAACTACTTTTAAACGACATTGTTTAAAGGTTTACGATCGAGCTGCCGTTAGTTTGACAGATGTCATCGTGGAAACTTGGTCTCCTTAGCTAGAGTCTGGATTTTGAAGAAAACCAGGATACGTGTTATGTAGTAGCTAAAAATATTAGAATAAAACATTTAACCTGTCAATCGCAAATCCAGCAGGAAGTTCTGGGAAAGTTGTTTCTGTGCTTTAAGGCGGAAGAGCTTAATGATCTCTCCAACAGTTGGCAGGGGAGGCAGGCGGAAAGCTGCCACCTTCCCGGGAACAGCCATTAGGCAGAACTT